GCGTTTATTGAGGGTTTATTGAGGGTTTGCTGCCTTCTTTGTTCATAGATCATAAACTGATCCTTCGACACGTCGATGAGCTTCTACACACAGAAAATTTCACCGAATTAATGTTTATGACAGAAAGTACAATTCAATGTTGTCATTCTTTGTTATGTAACTGAATACGAACTTCACGTGATGGCGTGATGTGAAGTCCGTGACTCACAGACGGATACACGACGATGATATTCATGTGGATTTACAATAACAGTGTTTTACAATAAACAGAAAAATAATCAATGAAACACACAGCGGTTATATTCCCCACAACGTTTGATCGGTTGTCTGATAAAACCAGCGGCTAGTGAAGCTGTAACGGTCCACCAGCTGACTGACCTGCTCATTGATCACACTGATTATTGATGAATACGCTAAATAATTAATCCGACACCGGCTTCAGTGCAGCTTTCATGACTGCTGTCGTAAATATTTCAGACTCTAAAAGAAAATGAGCACTACAGCTGCATCACTCAGTATATTAACAAAGCAGTGGATTAAACGATGATGTGGAACCGATGAGAACGTTTATTCTGCAGCTACACTCTGTGGCGGGTTTAACACCGTCTGGTGGAGCCCAAAACGGAGCTAAAAGGAAGATTAATGTTGGACTCACAACAGTGATATTAGCCTTTAATGTTTAATGTTTTATTCATTAAACTGCTCATTTCTTTAAATCTGATGAGTTTTGATTTCATCTGAACAAACAGACTCATTATTTGGTTGCTGAGTTGTTATTTAATGGTTTTTTTCTGCAGGTTTGCGTGGCGTCGGTCCAAAGAAATGCTGCTTCCGCTTCAATGAGAAGCCGGTTTCTAAGGACCGAGTGGTGGGATACGCGAAGACGAGCCAGCGCTGCTCCCAGGCCGCCGTCCTGTAAGTTCACCGTCTTTATTCAGTCTGCTGCTGGATCTGCTGACGTGCTAACATGTTAGCATGCTAACACGCTGCTGTGTCTGCAGGCTGAACACCGTCGCCAACCGCCAGCTGTGCGTCCGGCCTGCAGCTGCTTGGGTGAAGGAGCTCATCAGACACCTGGACGCCAAATCCATCCCAGGAAACACCTCCAACCTGTAACCATGGCAACAACAGACCACCGTTACAGCAACACCTGTTGTTTTCCATGATTTAACCAACCTGAAGCTCTGCATCTAAATTATTAACATTCTGATATTTTTTGACTTAAATCAATCAGCTGGAATTAATGATTTTTTTTTTCTTTTCCCATAATAAGAACATTTCTTGTGTGTTTAAGCTCTCTTACTACTGATATTCACATTTTCTACATTTTTAAAGAAACTTTATGTTATTATGTGGAAAACAGAGTTTTTCGTGATGCAACACTCAGAACTGAACGACCGACACTGTGAACTGTTTCTACGTTTTGAATTGAACTGACTGTAAAAGAACAATAGAAGTGAATATAAGCTAACAGGCTCCAGCTCGGTGACCTCTTGTTGAAGTTAAACGGTTGTGTATTTTTATTTTTCAGTCAGGTTTTGAAGTCACTTGTTTCAGAGAAGGAACCCAATTTCAGAAAATTATTTATGTCTGTGTGCTTATGCTACGAATTTGATTATTTCAAATAAAAGCAGGACAACGAGAAAGGCTTTCTGTGTGATGATTCCACATTTATTGGTGTTTAACTCATTGTTATCTTTTATAGCTTCATTAGTGAGAAACACAATGAAATGTGGTGCGATTAGCTCAAATTAAGACATTTATTGATCCTCCACTTTCATGTTTAAAGGCCTCTGAGGCATAAACTGAATTATGTAACGCTGAACTATAGAATTTTAAATTCTGATCAAAGCTTTAGTTGTTCAGGATAAAAATACATGTCACTCTTATTTCACTGCATCCCTGCTACCATCTGTGTGACCAGTAGCCTGGGGAGGCTAATGTTAGCCACGACTCGCTGGGTTTACGTGCACTAAATATTACAGTTAGTCAAAAATGTGTTCAGATCAGAATCGGATGTTTAAACATTTCACCATAAAATATATTTCTCCTGTAGGAATGTGTGGTTTTTGAGAGAAAAGAGAAAAAGTAGAAATCAGAGCTGAACAAGAAGCTACGCTAACCTCCAGCTAGTTAAAGCTAATGATTAGCTAAACCCAGTTTACAGGGTTGTTTTTATCTCATAGGATTCAAAATGTAATTTTCAGCTTTGATATCTTACTGAGTGTGTTTTACCCACAGACTGGATGAGAAAGACTCAAATACTCAGTCTATGGTTTCACCACATAGATACAGCAAACCTTCAATATTGAATTATAAAGTCTTAACAAAAGGAGAAAAGCTGGTACTGTTACAAGCTACCTAGCTAAAAGCTAACCACAAGCTACCTAGCTAAAAGCTAACCAGCCTAGCATAGCTGAGTAGCCTCTGAGTCTGGAGGATTTGTGAGATTTCATGTAAATAAACTGCATTTAAATGACATATTTGAATGTTTTTGATTCATTATTAATTGTTGTTATAGATATTATATGGGATTTTTAAGACAAAAACACAAACTTGTAACCAGAAAACTGATTCTAAAAACTACTGCAGTACAATGACACCACATAGTGTCACACAGTACTGGCCAGTCCAGGAGAACGCGTCGTCGTTTATGAGCAATTGGGACAGCAGCGTACTCGATGACGTCACCACCTCGGCTCATCTACTCTGATGATCTTTACCGAAAAAAAAAAGAAATTAAATGAAATACTAGAATAGAGATGCGCCGATCCGATACTGGTATCGGTATCGGGCCGATACTGGACGAAATTCCGGTACCGGATGATTTCCTTCACAGTGGTAACGGGCCGATCCGATACCACCACACACACACAATCCTGCCTTCAGACACATCACGTGTTCGTCTGCTCATTGGCTACAGGTTACAGCGTCAGAGAGTGTCTGCAACCCGACTGGTCGAATCTACAAGGGTGGGACTTGTGCG